TAGACACTAAGGCTTTGCTTTCAGGAATATAGTGCGAGATCTTGAGAGAGAATTGAGGAGGGAATTTTCGTGTGACTTTCGGGTTTTGTGAATGGGCTCCCTCTATTTTTTTTTTTTTTCTTATTCAGTTGTCAGGCAGTGAAGTGGTACTTTACTTCTGCTCTCCTCTGAAGGAACAAAATGAGTGCTCTATGGCTTTAACTTCTTTTTCTCTCTTACATAAATTCAAATGTATGTCATGCTTTGTGCCTTCAACACGTAAGTGATGGTTGTCTACCTTGTGGGTTTTTGGGGAGGTTCTAGAGGGGAAAGACAGACATATTTATGAATTGTGCTTAGTGTAGAAAGTTCATCAGCCCTGGATGGGCACACAGATCAGGGAGTTCAAGGCTAGTGAATGTTTTCAAGGTCATTCGGAGCACCAAGCTCACTCCCTCTGGGTGGTTCACTGTACTTCAGTACAGCCTTTCTGGCCATCTCATGATTTGTGGTTCATATTCATTTTATAAACTGGATTTTTAAAAAACGTTTCCCTTTTTCTTGGAATCAACCATGGACACATTAATTAATAAAAATAGTTCTGTTTGCCTTATTCTATTTGTAGATTTGGTTTGCTGTTACCTTCCCAAATGTTTTGGCGGCTAATGACACTAAACCAAAGTTTGCCAATTCTGATTTTGCACAAACTGCATGTCAAAACTGTGTTAAGTCCAGTAATGAACATTTTCTTGTTTAGTCTTCACAACGACTTTTAGAAGGAGGTGATAACATTCTCACTTTTGAGATGAAGAATCTGAGGCTCAGAGAATCACCAGCAAAAGGCAATTTTGAGCCCAGATTGTCAACATCTAAATTCTTGCTCCTTTTGTTATATTATTCTGCTAACTTATTAATAACTAGTGTTTGTTTTCAATGCATGCTGTGTGCTAGGCATCATGCCCTGTCCTTTATTTTCATGTACTCATCTAATCAACAAACGTGAGCTATTACTATCTCTGATTTGTAGATGAGGAAAAGTGGGTTTAGAGGTGAGTGATTGCCCAGAGTTCTGCTGTTGTAAGTGCAGAATCAGTAACCAAACTGATGGGCTGTGTGCTCCAGGCCTGAGTGGGTCCACTCTGATGAGCCTTTAAAGGCAAGGTGCTAATTAAAGGAATCCGTGACTAATTTTGACGGCTAATGCGAGATTGGTGAAATTGATTTGTACCCTAGTATTTTGGTCACTTTTTAGGCTACAAAATGTATACAGGTATACATTTTGAGGCTAGGTATACATTTTGAATAGTAGCAGCAAATGGTATGAGGGAAAACAGGAGTCTGAGCCCCTTTTTTGATGTACAGCAATGTTTGGGACTAAGAAGATGAAATAGAGTTATATTTGAGTAAAGCTGTGCCCCTTTCTTCAGCAGGTAGAATGAAAGCAACTTAGAGAGTATGAGAAGTAAATGATAAGTACCTCTTAGTCTTTCTTGATTTAGGCATCTGCCCCAGCTGGGACTGGGGCAATTGTCATGAAGTTCATTTTAGTCAGCCAGTGATCTATTTCTTTGACCATAGCCCACATATAAGGCACTGGGATTCTTCTGGACACTGGGAAGTCATGGCCTCCCAGCTTAAAATTATTCCTCTACTTCTAGGTCATTCCAACAGGTGCCTAAACTAGGAAGTTTTATGTAGACAGTTCTCATGGCAAGTCACTCAAAGCGATGGCATCTTAGAGCTAGCTGTTGTTTACCTTATGGGTTTTCAGAGAGGTTCTAGAAGGGAAAGACAGGCACTTAAGAATTGTTCTTATTGTAGGAGTTCGTCTGCCTTGGATGAGCACAAAGATCAGGAAGTTCAAGGCTAGGGGACAAAGGGTGGTTGTGAGGCGTGTGAGTGGCATTTGCCTATTGACAGTGGTTAGTTCCACTCTGCCTACACAGCCACGTGGGCTGTTGAGGAGCTGGCTTGTGTCGTACTCATCCTCCTGGTCCCAGATCCTATTGTTAACGATTATTCTTAAACCTGTAATTGGGAGCCCAAAGATAAAGCAAGACTCAGCACATAGCAAGTCCTCAACTCAGTTTATTGAATTAAATAAAAAAAATTGGAATTGTGTATATCAAAGCCAGATCAGCTCTGCCCAGGATTTCTCTGGAGAGATTTTGCAACACTGGAGCTACCTGTTAACACCAAGTTTATCATACTTATATAAATAGGAATAGGTGAGCAGGGAAGATCAGATACCACCCTGAGGCTTTGTACCCTGGTATACATCCTCTCCCCTCCCCTAGGAAAGCTTGAACTAAAACAATTTTGGGGGGTGGTTTCTTGAGAGTAGATGTGCAGATGGACATTGTCTCTGGTGCTCTGGGCTTATTATTCATAATTTTCTCCCTAAAGAGAGTGATTTCTCAACCTCACAATTCCTTTGCTCATTTGGAAACAGAGTAGCAGAAAGATGAAAGAGAGTTTGTGACTCACAACTAAAATCTGTGTTCTCTTGTCACTTCGTCAAATTAGTTCTGGTGGCATTTTTGTTTTTCCCCTGGAAATAAATCATTATTAAGTGATTCTTTATGAAGGAGTCCACGTGTTTATCACAGCCCAGTGATCTAGACCCAGTTAGGGAATTTTAAGGTACAGGTCATGTTGGTGGCTGAGCAAGGCTGGCCTTGCCACATTGCATTTCTTTCCACTCCCTGTGCTGCTATTAATCCTTCAGAACCAAAACTCAGGCCTTGCCAGTTAAGGGCTTGGAAGTAATCACATAAAACATAATAGTGTGACAAGGGGAGGTTGAGCTTTTAATTTTTTCCAGTTGATAGAAGAGGAATAGGAAAGGCCAGATGAACTGGGAGAAATCAGAAATAATGATAAAATATCCTCAGAACTTTAGCTTTTGTGATTCATGCCTCACATTCAGTTTAATTATTAAACTTACTTAAAAGCAACAGTTGGCTTTTGGAATAAATTAATCACGCCAATGATTAAACATGAAATACAATTCCAGTTATATTTGTTGATTGTTTTCTAAAAGCTTGGCATTCTTGCTCAGCCTTTTATATATAGTTTTTCATTATCTACCTTTATAAAATATATTATTATTATCATTCTCACTTTCAATATGAGAATATTTGGAGATTAGAAGGCTTAAGTAATTTGACTAAGGTCATATAGCTTAGTGTATAGGAGGCTGGAAAACAAACCCAGGATGTTTTAATTATACTAGAACAATCCTTTTTCTTTTCTTAATGAAGTCTTGGCATTAGGTTTTTTTTAATCTTTAATACTTTTATTTGGAAATTGATAATTAACCCTTTTAGGAAAGTAGTAATATAAATTTAGAAGTCATCTAGAATATAGGTGAAATCACTACATTATTTAATTTATGATTATTTCATTTAAAAAGTACTAATTTTTATTTATATTTGAGATATATCTGGGAATCCAATACTTTACCATATATTAATTATTGATTTTGTTTACTGTAGTTTTGGGGAAAATTTAATTGACTATTCTATTAATTCAGTCACCATATGCAAAACCTAGAGTAAGCGCTATTAGAATTTTAGATTAAAATTTATTTATTCCTGAAAGTAAGCTGAGTTATATTTCAATACTTGTTTGAGGAACTGGTAATGCAAAAGCTTTCCAATTTATTTTGCTGTTACCTAAAATAATAAATTTTATATTCTGTCCCAGTAAATACACAGATACACATGCATATATACTCATGTCTCATAAAATATTAGTTACCTTTATAGTCAGTGCTCACCAATATTTTATATTTTATCCCATTATATTAATAAAATATATACTGGTCGTGATGCACAGTATTGATTTCATAACTCCCTTGTGGTTGTAGCCTGCAGTTTGTCATTTGTTGAAGTGTAGTGTGGTGGAAAAAAGATGAGATGGCTTTTTAATCAGATACACTGGGGTTTGGTCCATACCCTGGAATATGTTAGCTATGTGTCACCTTACCTGTAAAATGGTGATAATTAGTGCTTTTTCCAAAAGCCTGGTACCTAGTAAATGTTAGTTTCTTTTATCTTTAGAGTGCACACTTCATTCCATAGTATTGTAGAAAAATGTCTGGTTGTTTAAGCATACTAGCACTGTAGTTTGGATTTTTATATTATTTGTGATTCTATGTGTGTTTTTAATATCCTGTACTAAATATTAAAAGCCAATAAAAACTAATAAAAAACAGCAAAAAAAAAAAAAAGGATCATGCAGTAATTTTAATAGACCAACATTAAGTACTCCAGAAAACGGAACAGAATCTGAGGGCTTGTTAATTTTTATGTATCATACTGGAAACGGTTCCTTTTATTTGTTAATTATTTTTATGACCACGTATTGTAGCATCTTCTGACACATTTTCTTTTTCTGTCCTCCACTTTTTAAACTTCCTAGCCCATTTTCTGCAGAGGTGCCAGTGAGTGCTTCAGTCTTGTTATTTCCCACCTTCACGGGCTTCATTGGCTCTCTGTTATTTTTCAAATTAGTCACAGGCTCCTTAGCCTGAATTCAACCCTTTGCAGTACCATGCTAGCCTGCCTTGGGGGATTTGTTTCTTTTTAATCTGCTCTCTGTACTTTATACTTACTGCTGTGATCAAACAAGATGGCCTGCCTTTCCCCAGATGGATCTCACAATTTATAGTCTCTGTGTCTTTCCTTGTGTGGTATCCTCTACATAGAAGACTTGTCTCCTCCTTTATCTCTACCCATTAAAAACTCTGCCCCTGTTTTCAAATTCTGTATCAGAGCTGCCTGTTTCATTGTGACTCCTCTAATTGATTCCCCTTTCCCAACCTAGGACCCTATGTCTTCCTGTCTTTTTTTTTTATTATTATTATCTTTTATTAAGAGATGGGGTCTTGCTCTTTTGCCCAGGCTGGAGTGCAGTGGTGTGATCATATTTCACTGCAACCTTGAACTCTTGGGCTCAAGTGGTTCTCCCACCTCAGCCTCCGCAGTAGCTGAGACTCCAGGCATGCACCACCACACCTGGCTACATTGAATTATTTATATTTTTAGACATGGGGTCTTGCCATGTTGCCCAGCTGTGTTCCTATCTTAAGGCATGTATATTCTGTCCCAAGGTGCAAATGTTTCGTGGCCCCCATGTAGCTGATTGGTGGTGGGAGTTTATCCCTGAAGAGAATTGAGAAAAATATTAATAGGACTAGTTACAGCTGCAACATTGGCCTTAAATATCTGCTGTTTCTTGGGCTGAGGTGGTTGGATAAATGTATCTAATGTAAAAAATCTTACAAGATTATTCAGGAAAATAGTAGTAGGAGTAACTGTACTTTTCTAACTTTTGGCTTTAAACATACAGTGTTTCTTGGGCTATGGCACTAAGGTAAAATTATCCAGTTTGTATAAATCTTATGAGGCTTGATAAATGGACTTAATAATTATCAGATGATGACAAAATTAAATGAGTCGGTGAATGTTAATGTGTCTCTCCTTTCATATAACTAGATGCCTTGGGACAGTTCCAATATGTGGCATTTATATTGTATTATGATGTGTTAATAACGTGGATCAGAGACAAGCAAAAGTCAAGGACAAATGTAATTTTCTGTGAAATGTATATTTAATACTTTTTAACATTTAGCTGAATTACTTTTGGATGGCAATTAAACATTTTATCTCCTTACTACTGTGATTTTATGTGTGTGTGTGTGTGTGTATGTGTGTGGTGTCTATAGAGTGAATATATTAATTCTCTTAATGCAGTCTCAAATACTAAATACTAAAGTATTATAGATTTTCTTTAATTGTATTGAGTTTTATATATTTTATCGATTCTCCTCTAATCTAAGAGATTTGGTGTTTTTTTTTTTTTTGATACAGACTGAACAAGGCAAATTTTACAATTTATGAAGCTTAGGTTATTATATTATTTCAGAAATGTTCCATCTGCCCTATGGTGGCCTTCAAGTTTGGTCAAGTAGTGAAGTAGTGCAAAGAGTACTGACAATGTAGAGGTCCCATGAGGGTAGACAGTGGTTTTACTTTGTTCTAAAGGGTACACACTTCCATTTGGCTGTTTTTATGCAGAGCACAGAATTCATATGAGGGCAAGTTCAGTAGCAGCCTTTAGTCTGTAGAGGGATACATTGAGAAGTATGTCACATACCATAAATTACCAATTTGAGGTTAATGTATGCTATCGAGGACCCAGTGGCTCACGGTTACTGCTGTACCCTAAAAACACCTCAGGTTTATATGCTCAAGATAGAGAACTTCATAGTTAGAAAATAGCATTCCCCAAGGCTACAAGGAAACATTGCTTGACATTTTGCAACTCTATTTGATGTTTTTAAAACAGCATGCTATGTAGACACTACTCCAGGTCACGTGCATTTTTTTTTAATCTATACTTATACATGCTATTAAGCTTGCAGTTTTTATCAGTAGTAATGGTTACATTTCTATAATTTGATGCGATGAGTTTTCCCTGCAATATAAAATTAATTTACTCTTTAGTAAAAAGGCAAGAACCAAATGTCTTGCAGGTTACACAGTTGACTTGTGTGTTTTCATTTTCTCATACTGATAACATAACCAGGGGCCTGACCCATGCTAGTTAAATAACCAGAAATTATTTCCACAAGGTTGTCAGGCAAACCTTTGAGTTTTAATGCAAATTCAACAGAGAATGGGTAGGGAATAGCCCTTTTCCCCCTCTAGGTTGTAAAGTAGCTGGACATATGCAGGATTAGAGTTAATGATTAAGGTCTATTCATATAAATTTAAAAGCTAATAATCTACAAGATGCTTAGCACGCTACTTGACACATTATAAGCACTCAATAAACTGATATTATCCTTTAAGAAGCATTTATCTCAGAGGTTAAGAGAATATACTCTGGAGCAAAACTCTGAGTTTAAGTTGAGTGACTTTAGACAAGTTGCTTAAACTATCTCTGCCTCTGTTTCCTCATTTCCACTATAGGCGTAGATCATTTATCTCATAGGGTGTTGTTAAATGCATATCAAGCATTTGTAACAGTGTTTTAATAAGCAAAAAAATGTCATCTAAATGTTAGTTTATTATTTGTGATACATTCTAAACCTATTTAAGTCTTAACATAAATATGCTTCTTAACATTCATGGAAAATTTGTGTCTCCTGTTTTATTTACCTTTTTTTATATATATTTGAAACTATAAGTAGCTCTACCCAGGTGTAGGACATATGTTTTTCTATCTTTTTTTTCTCCCATGTTGGAGAAATCTATTTCCAAGGGGTGGTCTGGTTATTTGCCTACAGATCCTCCCCTGGGGACTATGCAGCGGTGAGACTTCAAAGCTATCTCAGTTTGCACTTAATCATTTGAAACATCAAATAACTTGCTTGTTCATTTAATGCATGTTTTCTTATTGAGGAAATTAGTCAACCTAAAATGAGCACCAGAAGCTTATTTTTCTTGGTGTTGCTCTTAAAGTAGTTCTCACGCATGTTTATCTTGGAAGCGTAGGGGACTCTCCTGCAGCTTTTAAGGATGATTGAACTTGGGAATATTCTGTTTTACCACAAGACTCATGTTCCCTCTGTTTAATTTCTTAGAGCTTTCCCTCCCTTCCATGCAATTACCGTTTTCTTACACAGTAGGCAGACAAGATCTGTTTTGCTTCCTCCTTGGGGGAGTGTGTTTATTTGTTTGTCAAATACTCTCTGAGTTCCTGCTGGTCCACTGGGCACTGTCCTGGGTGGGTTGAAGATACAGTGATGAGCAAGATGGGCAAAGTCCTTGCTCTCTTGGAGCTTTCACCCGAGAAGGAGAAGACAGACAGCAACGACTAAACAAATAAGATATTTTTAGAATATGTGGAAGGATGATGAAGCAAATGATCAGTGGAAAAATGAGACAAAGAGGCAAGGAGAAAGGAGGCTGCTGAGATGAAGCTTCTCTCGTTTGCCTGCCTCTGTGCTGCCCTTCCTCCCCCCAACCCCGTTTCCTAAATTTCATGGAAGACAATTTTGCCATGGATAGGGCAGAGGGTATGGAGCTCAGGCAGTGATGTGCAGCCCAGTTCCTAACAGGCCATGGGCCACTACTGGCTGGGGCCTGGGATTTGGGGTCCCAGTTTTGAAGACTTCAAAAGTGGAGTATGAGATAAAGAAGAGTCTAGGATGACTCCCAGTGTCCTGAACAAATCTATTGAGATTGAGATGGAAAAGACTGAAGCTGGAGCAGGATGGGATGGGTGAGATTTGGGTATGTGGAGTGGGAGACACCACTGTTCCACAGGCAAACTATAAATGGTACCTCTCCCTTCCACAATCAGGGGTGGCAGCATGACCTGGCATTGGCTAGTGGTTCATTTAGACATGAAATAAAAGCAGGGGATTGAAATGTGCTCACAGGTGGGCTCAGCCTCCTGTAATTCTGTCATCAGCATGAGAAGAGCTTCCCCTGGGTGGCTGTTGCCCTCTTAGCCTGGTCCCCAAGTTGCATGCAAGTGATGTAGAGCTACCCCAGCTAAGCACAACTAATTCCTCAGTTTGAAGCAGAGCTGACCATGGAGCCCACCTGAGATCATCAGACACTCCCTGGCCTACAGATGCATGAGAATTAACAGCTACTCTTATAAATCATTGAGTTTTGGGGTGGTCAGTTATGTAAAAGTTTTGTGGCAATAACTTAATAATGGAGAATCTAGGTAGTGAAGTGAAATAGGGAGTTGGATTTAAGAGATTTGATTTCAGAAGAAGTCTGGGATGGAGATAGAAATTTAGGCATTATTGGCAAACTGATGGTATTTGGAACCTCAAGGTGGAATGAGTTCAGCATAGGAGTGAGTGTGGCAGAGAAGGGGACCAAGGATTGCATCACTTCCTCCTTACAATGTCTTGAAGAAGAGGAGCAACCAGTGAGGTGGAAGGAAAATAGATTGCCCTGAAAACTGAGTGGACAAAAGCAATATTGAGGAGGAGGAAGTGATTCATGGTGTCAAAGGAAACTACTGAGAATTGGTTGTTGGATTTGATAACCTGGGAGTGGGGGGTCACTGTTGACCTTGATAAATAGAGTTTTATGGAAGTGTTGGAGATGAAAGCCTGATTACAATGAGTTTAAACATGACTATAACCAGAGAATGATTGGGGATAAGGAGCAAAGTGACTTTTTGAGGAGTTTTCTGGGAAGGAGACAGAAATGAGATGGAATAGTGACCCCATCACAGAAGGAGTAGTAACTCATGGTAAAGGTGTTGTGCTTTATTCTGAGCAGGGTGGGAGGTAGTTGAAGTGTTTAAATAGTAATCTATTTGCATCCGGCTATGGCTGCTGGATAGAGAAGCGTCTGGAGTGAAAGTGAGCTGAACAGTTACGAGGCTATTTCTGTTTCCTAGGTGAGAGATTATGTTGGCTTCAGCCTGAGACTTAGCACTGGCAATGTGGAAAGTCATGCATATATTTTGCAAAGTGGTATTAGAAAGAAAGCATGGTAGGATCTTTAGCTTAAAGTGCTTAAAAAGTTTTTGTGGTCAAATGAAAATCACAAATGTACATGAGATTTATTTATTTATTTTTTTATAAATCCTCTCTACCTGTATCTTATCTTATGTAAATAATAACTGCTTGAAGCAATATGATGCTGTACTGGTTAACTTTTATTAAAATTTATATCCTACCACTTTTTGAAGTAATTTTAGTTGTCTGTAAAAAAAATGGATATGATCATTTTTCTCTCCTTCAAATTCCATTCTGTTCCATTCTGAACCATCCCAGCTATACTGCCCTGTTTTGCTCAAGTGACATTAGAGACTATTTCTGGTATAATGTCCTTGTCTGAGTCTGTGGGCAAAATAACTTTTTAAGTGGAAAAAGTTCTATGATCTTTGTTTGGGATGGGTATTAACAACAACAAAACAGACTCTTCTTTCCTTAGATCTTGGATTCATATGTACTAGAGAGTTGTTTCTACAAAGATGGTGAATAAAGTATTTTTCCAAGTGTGCTTTCAGTAGAGACTTGAATGATTGTCTGTGATCTGTTTTGCTCTTATTCCACGTCCAGAGGTTCCCATGGGAACCACCCCCAATTCGTGGGAAGAGTCAAATTTAACAAACAATACAGAAAAGCCATTTAATCATCTTCTGTGTGATCCATGAAAGAGCCAGAAATATGGAGGAAATGAAATCACTAGAATCTCTTTCCATCTTATATGGGACTACCCCCAAACAAAGTCCTGCTCACGGTAAATAGATTTGATGGCAAAAAAAAAACCCTCCAAAAGTCCCAAATCTGATAATAACAAAAAAACCTCTCCTATCATCTGTCTCCTTCTCTGTTCATATACCTTTTCAAAATGTGTTAAATGTTTTTGTGCCTTACACTTTGGCATCTTGCCAGTCATTTTCATTTAACTGTTTTTCCCTTGAAAGATTTGTTTTCAGAAAAAAAGCTTAGGATTGTAATACAGAAAGCCTTCCACATAATCTTCTCATTATGTTCAGAAAGCTAATTTTAAACCTGAATCTCCCATCTCTCTCTCTCCATTCCAGTGCTCACCTGCCTGTGTTAATTAATTCCTACGCAGCAATGAAGATTGGATTCAGATACCTGATCCGTTAGCTATTGATTGCAGGGGCTGTGTGTCTTCTATGGGGAAATGGGGGCACCTGGTGCCACCAGGACGTATGAACAGATTATCAGTACTGGGGGGGGTGGCTTTGGTGACAGCAGAGACATAGACCTCCATCAGGAGCAGGTACTCAGAAAACCAGGGATAAGAACAGAGGGCACCTACACAATCTCATATTATGGGATGCAGCCCTTTTTCCTTTCCCTGAATGGATCGAAAACTATTTTTAAATGAATTTGCTTCAGCTAGATTATTAGAGAGCACTGAGTCCTACAGGTGGTGAGCTGGAACGGGTCTTGGCGACCACGTAGTCTAAGCTTCGTGTGATCTGGACCTCCAGGTTGACCTTCTCACTCTCCCCTTGCTCTCTACGGTGAACCCACACTGCCTTTATTCGGGTCCTCAATCACAGCTAGCTCTTGTCTGCCCCGAAGTCTTTGTGCGTGTGGTTTATTCTGGCCGAGATGCCTCTAGATGATTCTTGTTCATTCCCAAGATCTTAGATTGTTTGTTATTTCCTCAGAAAGCAGGTTCTTGGCCCTCTAATCTACAGTCGGTTTCCCTGTGCTGTGTTGTCACAGCACCTTTACTTTTCCGTCAGAACATTTCACATAGTGCATAGGTATGTTTCGTAGATGAGGTCCTACCAAGACGGTGCCTTGCTTGGGTTGCTTTTTCTCTTCCCCAGTAAAAGAGATTTTAGAATCTCCTCCCTTAGAAGCATATAGGTGATGTTTCCCCTATAGGGGAAGGCCGGTGGCACCACTGCCTTAGAAGGGGTATAGTTAGGCTGGAAAGCACAAACGCCTGGTATCTTTGAGGGGAAAGAGATGACATTTTTGACAGATGGTAAATATCTGAGCCATTCCTGCCCAGGTGGGTCCATGCCAGCTGGAGACTTAGGAGGTGGCTGTTTGTGGGATCGAAAAACTGAGGCATGAGAACCTTGGGAGCCCAAGTGCCAGGCATCTTCGATGGGCATAGCAGTCAGGAGGTGAAGCTGCCCTCCGTGGGCCACGCGGGGCCTTTGCAGGAACCTGCATGGCAGCAGAGCCCAGCAAAGCAATGGCCCGGCTTCCCCAAAGCACGCTTACGCAGCACCTCTGTGTGGACGCAGTAAGCAATGGCAGCGGTCAGATTCCTCTCTAATGCTCCCTGGTGTGATGTCCTAGGAGGACCTCCTGTCGGTTAAGCACATGGGACATCAAAAAATAAATTGGAAGAATAAGAAATGCAAGTATAAATGAATGCCTCTCCTGATTTGGAGAGGCGTTTGTCTCCATCGGTCTGTAATATTCATTGTAGACCCTGCGCACGTGTTTTAGAGATGGAGGTGGAGAGAAGTCAAGTCACTCATCACAGAATCATAGCATTCACTGGTGGAAGAATTATAATAAGAATATGTGAATCTTCTGGCCCCAGTTTTGGTAGTTCTGTGGTCGAAAGGTAGCATGAAGAAAGCTGGGAAAATGTCTAAGATATATATTGAGAGGGCAGGGGCCATTCCCTCTTTACGAAATTACTGAAAATTATAGGTTGCCAGGGATATTTTAGAAAAGAGAAGTTTGAACCTACAGGTGCTTATGTTATGCCTGTCAGCCATTTTGGGGGGGCATCCATATTTTCATCTGCATGTTTGTCCTCTTTGTTCCAGTTTTCCTAATGACCATCCTCCTTTTCCTTTTGCCTGCCTTGTTGAGGCAGATCTCTTTCATCATGTTATCAGAGAGATCCCACTCTGAGACGTGTCTGTCATTGAGTCAGCTGCTTCCTGGCTAAAGAAAGAGAAGTTCTGGTTCCAGATCTGAAATTACCGTTTTACACGTTTAAAAATGGAAAGATATACTTTTGAAGAGTGAAATAAGTAAAGTAAGTGCATTATTAATATAACAAAATAGATTCCATAAGAGCTGGTGGGGCAATAAAAGTGAGAATGGGGTGAGAGTAATGATTGATGGCTTCTTGGAGAAGGAAAGTTTTAAAGATATGAGATATAAAGATAGGAGGAGAAGATGTACACTCCAGGAAGAAATGAGACTTGTGGGGAAGATCAGGGTACATGTGTTCATTGGGGTAGTGAGAAGAGAGTTGATAAGACTTTTGATGGGATCCCTCAGAAATAGCTAAGGAAAAGATGGCTTAGGGAAGGAGTTCCTTGAATCAGTGGAATGTTAGGCTGCTAAAGGAAAGTAAAAATTTAAAAAAAAAAAAAAGAAGAAAAATCTCTGAAATAATTTCTGGGTTCAAAACCCGGATTTATTGTTAAATCCAGGGTGACTTTGGATAAGCTATTTAAGATCTGAGTCTGTTTCCTCATCTATGAAAATTGGTTTCTGTGAGGATCAAGTGCAATATCCTGTCATATGCTCTGGACAGTATATTCTGGCTTAGAGGAGGTGTCCAATAAATGCTAGTTTTAAACCTTAAAATATAACTCACTTAAAATTGTCATTACTGGCGCAGGTATGGTTCTGAAATAACGTTTTTGGTTTATCTTGACTTGTTTAGTTCCTGACTTTTATAGACTTTTTTCTTTGGATTTTCTCAGAATTTAATAGTCTTTCTTAAGTAGGTGTAGAATAAATCATTGTTTTCCTTCAAGAAACATGGATGAATAGGCACACACTTGCATCAGATCATTCTTAGAAATCTATCAAAATGAATGAAAAGAACCCCCAAATAGGAAAGATGATTTCATTTATACTAAAATTAGAGTGGAGCCTCAACCTCAAATGCTACATTACAAAGACTGGTTTGTAGATTACATTTAGTAGAAGTTTCCAGGATTTCATGCACATGTTCTTTTAATCTTATATCTGCTGCGTATATGGGAAATGAAAAAAAAAAAAAGTTTGAAGGGCTTTCAATAACCCTGGAAAATAGGACAGGATGGCAAAGTTACACATCAAATTTCATGTTCCAGAAAATGCACCTTATAACAAAAAGACTTAAAAAGGAGGGATTGTTTTTCCCAAAAACATTAATTTAAGAAGTTTAGATATGTTTCCATAAGTCTACCGTCCTTCATTATTTGTCCATTAATATTTCAGTACAAACATACTCAGTGTTTCCTAAACACATTCCATTAATAATTAAGAAATGAAAGCTTATATTTAATGATTTCTTACCATATACACGTGGTTGTGGTCACAACAACGCTAAAAGAATTGTGGAGCACACACTCAGCTGTTGCACTAAAGACTGTCATCCTGCCTGCTTGCCTGTTACATGAACATGATTGGGCAGACTATCCTCATATTCTTTCCTGTTCTGCATCTGAAAATAACCTAGGCCGAACGGACGGAATCCTCCCTGATTTGGGGAATTGAATGTGTCCCCATCAGCAGGGATCACAAACAGCAGCAGGTAACTTACACGAGAGAATCAGACTAGTTATTGAATATATATACAGCTACCGTGGAGCCTGCAGAGACATGTGGCAAACATGCAGCATGCGCTGGTGGTCAGCATCAGCCCATTCTTGCCATTTGGGAAAGTGAGCCCATTGTTTCTAGAGCTTTGATTTCCCAAGCGAAGCATGGAATCTGTTGGCTTTTTTGTTGTTGTTGTTGTTCATCTCTTTTTTTCTGGAAAGATGAAACCTCCAGCTTTAAAAGTGTTGGCAACTAATTCAAGATTCTTTTTAAAGCATAGTCAATGTAGGCAGCACTAGTAAGCTAGGACAGGACATAACTGTGAGCCACAGGCCCACAGGCTTTTGGTTGACAATCTCTGAGCCATAACGTATACAGTTGGAATCCTGAGAGGCAGAGAGTGGAGTAAGGATGAAGTCTCAGATCAAAGTCAGAACTCTTGGCATCAAACCTGTAACCTTTTTCCTGGAGCGCTTTGACTGTCTTAACACAAGACAAGGTCTGATCTGGGAGACCATTGTTTAAAATTGATAGTCCACATTATGCTTTTGACCAGAATCTCTCCACTACTGAGAATTTTGATCCTCGGTATGAACACACTGCTCTCAAGAAGTTGATAGGGTTTTTTTGTTTGTTTGTTTGTTTGTTTTGTTTTTGCATTTTTAAAAGAAAATAATAATTCTCAACATATCCCCAAAGCTTGCGACATCTATGCCTCTAACTGTTCCTTAGGAACTTTCTTAATATTATGAGAATTAAGTTTCGAAACAGAATACAGAATAGTTAAGCATAAATGGTCTCATCTCGTCCTGACCTATCTCAGGCTCTTTTTCAGTCTTTTCACATGATGATATAAGCCAGTTCTATCTGAGCTTTGGGGAAAGCATTGCAGGGGTCTCAGAGCACTGGGAAAGGATACATAAGGCATCAGAAGGTTGGCTTTGACATGGCCTCCATGAAAGGTATACCGTTTTCCTGCCCTGTTGCTTTCATATTAAAAGGAATTTCTATCTGTCAAGCATTTCTCCTTCACTGCTTTCCCTGAGAACTATTGCAGCATTGTATTATGTGACACGGGCCATTTTTTTTAACATATGATTTGTAGACTATGAGATTTGTAAGCAGCTATTAACAATACCCTATTTTATTTTTAAAGCTATGTTTGAATGGATTCTGTTTGTTCCACTATGATCTTTTTTTTTTTTGTCTGAATAATAATGTCAGTTTGACATAGGCTGAATTTTTTTTTTTTTTTTAACATTTAGTTTAATCCTTTGACAAACCTTGCCCTCATTTGTGTTTGACCTTGGACCACTTGCCTTGGCTGGTTATTTAATTTGAAAATTAGAAAATGGCTATTTCATTTTTCTTGTTATTAAACTCAAGAGCTCACCCAGGTTCTTCTTTTCCTTTGCCGTGTGTTTCCCCTCCATCTTCCTAATTTCTTATGTATGTATTAATAAAATTGCTTCAGAGATAATAGTCTAGTCAAACGCATAGCTACCTAATTTGTTTATGGAAAAGCTAAAGTAGGGTTGGAAGGACATATTACTAAATTGTAATTTTAAATTTTTTATCTTTGAATGTCAGCCTCACTGTGTTCCTTCTTTGAATCTATAAATATGCATTTTATTGAATGTTAGAGGTGGAAGGCAGTTTGGCGGTCACTTGGACTATAACCATTCTTTTACTGAAAGGGCAATTGTGAACTATGTAGGAGATGCTTCTTGGCCAAGGTCATACGTATGCTGGTGGCAGTTAGAGCTTAAGATCAAACAAATCTTCAAAACTGACTTTGTGTCCTGGATGGACATCTCATAATTATGTTGCTGTGACTTCAGACAAGCCAAATAACTTCTCTGTGTCCCAGTTTCAACAGTTTTAAAATGAAGGTTATAATACTGCTCACTATTTGTGATGAGGAATAAATGATAGATTCCATATCAACTGCATGACACAGCTTCTAACACCTGGTAAGTTCTCAGTAAGTTCACTGTTATTGCTGTATCTCTCATACTCATCACCCTAATCACCTGCCAATGTTTATTTTATCACAGAGCTCTGGCAATGTTTTCAAACTATCTGAAGGATTTCTTAACTTCTGTCGTACTTTCGCAGCAAGGGCTTGGTATCTGTTGTCATTTTTGTTCTTTGTTAAGGGTGTCTTAGGTGGTTCAGCAAAAGTATATGGGTGTGTTTTGTTAGGTTCACAACTCCTTGCTTTTCATTCTTCGCATTTGGTTCACAAATTCAGTCAGTATCGTATTGAGCAAGCACCTTCCTTCTGTGTGTAAGGCTCTTCGCTAGATCCCGACGATACAGGGTAAACAAGAAGACATAATCCCTCTCTTCCTGGAGCTTATGTTCTGTGGTGGGAGAATAGAAGCTAAAGAATTAACCATGCTTTTGTTTCTTTATGATTTACTCAGTGGTTAAAATGAGTCCCGAGGGCTATGAGTGAGTGAAAAAGGGATATCAATCACAGAGCCCTGTAGAACAAATAGGTCTAAGTTAGGGGGGCAGTGCAGGAAGCCTTTCATTTGGAAGGGATAGTGTCTGAAGAGGTGCAAGAAGGGGAAAGCATTGAAATTCTAGGAGTGGGTCGGGTCGAAAGCCATTGTTGCTGAAGTAAATGGATGCTGGAGGATGAGGATGGAGAGGAAGAGGAGGCTAGATCATGGATTTTTAGGCCATGTTAACTTTTCGGGGCTCTATTATGAGAAAATCGAAGGTTACTGAAAAGTGATAAGCGGAAAAAATGTCACAGCCAGATCTTTTTAAAAGATCGTTTTGGTACTTCATGAAGAATGGGTGGAGGAAAGAAGAACAGAGGCAGAGAAATCTGTTCAGGGCAGAGGGTGGCCTGTACTAGGATGTAGGCAGTGGAATTGGAGAGAGATCTGAGAGTTGCACCCTCTTGGATCTCATGCAGTGCATGAGCCTGGGGTATGACAGGGTGCATCGACAGAGGCAGAGAGAAGGGTCAAGAGTGACTCTGCTTATAACTTGAGCCCCAGATGTCATTAATATTGGAGCAAGATGGATCCATGATTAGAATTTTTTCAGATGGAATCAAAGCACAAAGGAGTTCTACATTCTGGTAGAAGACTGATAGAAGTGAGAAGTGAAAAGAGGACTCTATTTGCAGTACACAAACCCCTTAGGAACTGGGCTGCACAGCAGAAGGTGAGTGACAGGTGAGCAAGCAAAGCTTCATCTGTATTTACACCTGCTCCCCATTGCTTACCGTTGCCACCACCCTGCCTCAGGTTTGTGTGAAAATTGTCTTCCATGAAACTGGTCCCTGGTGCCAAAAAGGTTGGGGACCACTGCTCTAAGTCATGATTAAGACAGAAGACACACAAATATGTTAAGCAGTAAAAGAATCAAATGCCAAGAATCAGTATAGTTAAGGTGTGATTTGTGAGGTTTGTGTATGTTAATCAGAGTCAAGGAATTCCTGTTTCTTGCTGTTTTGATAGGCATGCATCACATTTAATCAGATGAACTACTGAGTTCAACTAAATTAATTAATCACTTTGTAGTAGAGACTGGGATAGTTTGTTTCAGTTCTTGGATGTAAATTGATTGGTTGGAATGTTTTTATCCTGAAATTAAGCTAAATCTACTGACATTTGTATACCAGATACTGGTCTTGCATCTTGTAAAAATGTATCAATTACAAACATTTTTTAAAATTTTTATTCTTTAATGAGGATGTGAGCTTCAGACTAAATCTTGTGTATCTATGAATGACAATAAAATACTAAATAAAAATGAATTATAATAAAATAAAATACTAAATAAAAAACTAAATAATTTAACATATTTAGTTTTCCTGTATGCATCGTATTTATTTCAGCACATTATGATTTCAGCTTGATTTGTGTTTGAATTACTCATTGTTTATCAACATGAGGTATCCATCTGTTTGAGAGTTAAGTATTTTATGTTCAGAGTTTTGTTCATTGTACTGAAAAAATACTCCTTTTGAATATTCATGTATTGGATACATGTATACATGCTTGAATTAAAAAATAAAAGAATCCTGTCGATGTAAAGAATTTTGGGGGTAAGACTGACAATTTAAGCAGGTTTTGTCTTGGACCTTTATTTCTTTTCCAACCTCCCATCAAATAATTAAGAAGGAAAGCAATGTGCCACAACTGAAAGATCCATGAGGGTCCCCATCTATCTGCCTGAAATCTTGAGGGGTGTCTAAGGCTACCACTCTTGCAGAGAGATGTTAGTGAGCTGTTCTGATCTGCTATTGACTCAATAGCATTTGTCAAACGTAGGGAATGGAGAAAGATGCTCTTGCTATTCTGCTGGTCATGTGGCCTGTCAAAGCCCACAACCACAAATGTTTAGAGAGAATTTAAAGCTGAATATAAGAGATAACTGTAATGATGTACTGATAGAAGTGTTCTGTCAGACTCAAGAGGATATTGCATTTACCAAACAAAAGCAACCACAAAAAAGAGGAAAACTAAAAATTAAAGAAAAAAAAAAAGGAGATTGGGAGGGGAAAAAAGTACACATGTTGGTAGGGAGAGTACATATCAGAAAGGATGCTACTGGAAACCAAATTAATTAACTGGAAGGCTGGCAAAATTAGCATAACTACAAGTAAAAAGACAGTTTATAAAAGAGAAGATGAGACATGTAGGATAGGTCTTGGGGCTTATCTCATAGCTAATAAGAGGAGTTTTAGAAAGAGAGAACAGATGTGAGGATGGAGAAGAAATAATAGATTACCATTTCCCTTAAGCTGAACTAATTCTTAAAGCCTTCACATTAAATGAACTCACTAAAGGCTGGTGAAGATTAATGAAAATAAAAACTTTAGGCCTATCATGGCAAAATTTTTGAATTCCAGGTATAAAGAGAAAACTCATGCAAAAATTAACAGAAGGAAAAAAATAGGTTACCTACAAGGAAAAGAGAATTTGACTATTATCCAATTCCTATCTACCACACAAAATGCTAGTGGACAGTACAATAGTCCTGAGTGAAAAGAGTTTCAACCCTCGTAACACAACAAACTGCAACACAGTTTGCTCATATTTGCAGAGAAAATGTGCATTTTGATTCATGAAAGGACTCAAAGTATTCTGCACATGTACTGTTTCTTTCAAGCAAAAAAGAAGTGGGAAGAAGACTTAATGGAGTACTATAGGAACTATAGGAAACAGTAAGTGAGTCAGAATATATCACAAATAAGTCACACAATGAGTAGGAGGAAACTTAATGAAGTACTATAGCATTTGACACAATTCAGCATCCTTTTATGATAAAACTCTTAACAAAATAGGCATAGATGGAACATACCTCAAAATTATTAAAGCCATATACAACAAACCCACCACCAACATACTGAACAGGGAAAAATTGAAAGCATTCCTACTCAGAACTGGAACAAGACAAGGGTGCTCACTATCACCACTTCTATTCAACATAGTGTTGGAAGTCCTTGCTAGAGCAATCAGGCAAGGGAAGGAAATCAAGGGTATCCAAATGGAGAAAGAAGAGGTCAGACTATCACTCTGTGCTGATAATATGATCTTATATCTGGAAAACCCCAAAGATTCTTCCAAGAAACTCTGGAATAGATAAATAAATTCAGCAAAGTCTCAAGTTGCAAAATTAGTGTGCACAATATGTTATAGTGTATACATATACAATGTACATAGTACATAGTCAGGAACATTCCTATACACCAACAACAGTCAAGCAGAGAATCAAATAAAAGATTTAATATCTCTCACAATAGCTAAAGTATCTGGGAATATATTTAACTGAGGTAAAAGATCTCTACAAAGAGAACTATGAATCACTGAGGATGAAATTTACAGATGATGTAAACAAATGGATAAACGTATCATGTTCATGAATTGGCAGAGTCAACACTGTGAAAATGTATGCACTACCCAAAGTAATTTTGAGATTAAATGCAATTTCCATCAAAATGCCAACGTCATTTTTCGCAGATCTACAAAAAATTACTCTATGTTTTGTTTGCAACCAGAAAGGAACACAAATAACCAAAGCAGCCTTAAGCAAAAGGAAGAAATTGGGAGGCATCATTTTAGCAGACTTACTAAAGGTTGCTAAAGTTACTACAAGGCTATAGTAACTGAAATAGCATGGCACAAAAATAAAGACATAGATCAATGGAATGGAACAGAAAACCCAGGTATAAAATCATCGACATGTTGCCATCTGATTTTCGACAAAGTAGACAGCAGTATACACTGGGGAAAAGAAGCCCTATTCACTAAATGGTGCTGGGAAAATTGGATAGCTATATGTAGAAGACTGAAACAGGATTCCTATCACCCACCACTCACAAAAATTAATTGAAAATGGATCACACACTTAAATTTAAGACATTGAACCATAAGAATTCTAGAATAAAATGTTGGAAAAACTCTTCTAGATACTGCTCTAGGCAAAGAATTTATGAAGAAGATCCCAAGGACAAAATCACAGCAACAACAAAAATAAATAAATGGGACTTGATTAAATTAAAAACCTTCTGTACAGCCAAGGAAACAATCAACAAAGCAAATAGACAACCTATAGAATGGTAGAAAATATTTGCATGCTATATATCCATTAAAGGGTAATAACCTGAATCTACAAAGAACTCAAGCAAATCAGCTAGCAAAAATCAAACAACTCTATTAAAAAGTTGGCAAAAGACATGAATAGAAGTTTTTCAAAAGAAGGTATG